TTCTGTAACAGAGAAAGACAGTGCTTGTTTAGCATGTGCAAGGCCCCGGGTTCAAGTACCAGAAGGAGAAAATAAAAACAACCTAACCTCTTATCTCTCTCTCCCCATACTGGAGCCTATATCGTGGAGCCAGCTTCAAGTTTACCCTTTATTCATGTTAGGTACTTTCTCTGTGACCCTTTCTGCGAAATGTCAATGGCTTGACACTGACAAGGACCCCAGGTTCTATGTCTGACTTCAAGGCTTTCAGAAAGAGTATCAAACTATCATTCCTACTCTTTACTCAAATTCAACCCACTGGTCCCGCCAGATGGGTTCATTGGTTCCTTCTTGAACACACCTCCAACAATCACATTCTCCACGCTACTGCCCTATAAGCCTAAAGTACCATATGAATGCCTGTGTCTGGAAATCATGAGTATCATACATGCTTCCCAGGTGCTCTGTGAAGACTTGCTGCTTCTCTGAACTTCCTGAAGGCTCTGTAGCGCCTACAATAACCATATGCAAACACACCCATTTTTATTGACAGTACATAGTCTCACTACATAACCTTGGCCTGTCTTCTTGTACTTGATATATAGACCAGGATGGCCACAAGTGTGTTGTAATCCTTATGCCTGCCTCCTGAGTGCTAGGACTGTGGGTGTGAGCTGCCACCTCTGGCTTTACAGACAATTCTTTTCTTTTTTTTTTCTTTTGATTTTTTTGAGACAGGGTTTCTCTGTAGCTTTGGAACCTGTCCTGAAACTAGCTCTGTAGACCAGGCTGACCTCGAACTCACAGAGATCTGCTTGCCTCTGCCTCCCGAGTGCTGCTGGGATTAAAGGTGTGCACCACCACTGGCTGGCTACAATTCTAATACTGAATCAGTAATTGTCAACCACTAACTGCATACGAGGAAATACAAATGCGTATACAGAACCCAGAAAGTGACATCCCAGGAACTGTGCCCTCCAGAACGTGGTAAAAATCAAGGGCTCTGAGACAGGTATGTGGGTATCCACCTGTAATCCCAGTTCCAGTACTCAGGAGGCTGAGGCAGGAAGATCAGGAGCTCAGGCCACTGAGTCCCTGTCTCTCCAACTTCAGGCTGGAGAAATGATTTGGTCAGTAAAGTGCTTGCTGTCCAAGTGTGGACATAAATTCAGATCCCCAGCACCCACCTAAGAAGCTGGGCACAGCTGTGCATGGCTGATGCCTGTAATCCTAATGCCGGGGAAAGAGAGACAAGATGGTTCTTGGTTCTGGGGCTGGCTGGCCAGCTAGTCCAGCCAATCAGTGAGCTTCAGTCTCATTGAAAGGCCAGTGGTGGCACACACCTTTAATCCCAGTACTTGGAAGGCAGAGGCAGGGGGATCTCTGTCAGTTCGAGGCCAGCCTGGTCTACAGAATGAGTTCCAGGACAGCTAGTGCTACACACAGTACACAGAGAGACCCTGTCTCAAAAAACAAAAACAAAAAGAAAGACCCTGTCTCAAAAAATTAGGTAGAGCATGGAGAGTGACTAAAGAAGACATTTACACAGACCTCTAGCCTCCACAAACATGTAACCACACACGCCTGCACATATGTACATATACACATCCATACCCCACCACCACCACACAGGCCAACATGTGGAGAAGGTTAGCCTGGGCTAAATGGTGAGATCCTGTTTAAGGAAGAAAAAAATAAAGTGAGGCACACACCTGAAATCCTAGTACTAAGGACATGGAAGCAGGAGAATCAGAGTTCAGGGACTGGGACTCAGTTGGTAGAGGGCTTATCTAGTATGCACAAGGCCTTGGGGTCGTTCCCCAGAACCACATTAACTGGGTTTGGTGGCACACCTGTAGAATCCTAGCTCTGGGGAGGTAGAGGCAGGAGCATCGGATATTTAAGATCATCCTTAGCTACACAGGGAGCATGAAGTCAATCTGGGCTACATGGGATGCTATCTCAGGGGAAGAGAGAGAGAGATAGAGGAGAGACAGAGAGAGAGAAAGAGACAGAGACAGAGAGAGAATAGAAAAAAGAATGACGGGCTGGAGAGATGGCTCAGTGGTTAAGGGCATTGCCTGCTCTTCCAAAGGTCCTGAGTTCAATTCCCAGCAACCACATGGTGGCTCACAACCATCTGTAATGGGGTCTGGTGCCCTCTTCTGACCTGCAGGCATACATGTAGACAGAATATTGTATACATAATAAATATTTTAAAAAAAAAAGAAAAGAAAAAGAATGAGTTCAAACCCAGTCTTGCCTACATAGCAAGTTTGAGGCTAGCCTGGACTACATGATACCCTGTCCAAAACCCGACGTTTAACACCCAGAAACAAAACAAATCACTTTCGTCTTCATTACCATCTACAGTATATGAGATAGGACAGGTCGGATGCACAGTCTGGTGCTCACTATGGAGAACTACTAAGCTTTGTTTTTCTATGGATGGACTATACCAAAGAGAAATGGACTCCTCTAAGTCCAAGGTTTTGTAATTCTGTGACCCCAAAACCTAGACTAGTGTTTGGTAGTGAGTGTCCACAGACAGAGGCAGGTCCCCCTTGCCCCTCCAGCCCTAACCCCATATTCCCTAGGAAAACCTCATTTGTATTCCATCGGAGCCGCTCTGGAGGCAGCAGTGGGCATCGAGGAAGACACTCCAGCAGTTTCTTGGGGAGGAAGATCTTCAGATGGTGGCTGTTCTCTAAAGGGAACCAGAAGGGAGGGCTTTGTTAGAGGCAATCTGGAGGAGAGAGGCGCAGTGTAACCAAGAGCACCAGGGAGACTAGGACCAGGACTAGAGAGGTGGGGAGCAAAGAACTGAAGAACATAGACGATTGTGCCCAAACTGGGAACCTGTTTTGTGAACTCACCAGCAACCTCAGTGGTGTCCTTGGTATTCATGGTGAGGATTCCAGGGGGCAAGGTCACCCCCGGCCTGAGGGGCCGGGGGGAGGGGGAGTCTGTGCTGGGAAAGGAGAGAACACAGTCATGGAAGAGGCCCCCACATTAATTCAAGATGAGGAGCCTGAGGTAGGGTAAGGGGCTATAGAACTCACTCCCGATATCTGGGAAGGATAAAGGAAAGGTTGTACTAGAATGTGACAGCAGAACTAGAGAACAGGGATAAAAGAGAACCCAGACATAAGTGCCAGGAACCAACAGGAGTGGGGAGACAAGACAGAACAGAGTGATCAGGAAGAAAAGGATGAGTGGGGGAGGCTGACAGTTTTGGAGCATTCCCCAGGGCAGCAGGCTGGGTTCTGCTCATCTAACCCAGATTCTCCCTTGCCCTGGCCAACCTGAAGGAGAGAGTAGGTGAGGTCAGTTATTAGATCTTTCCCCATGGAAAAGCCAAACAGAAGAACTCAGGGTGCATCTGGGAAGGGAGAGCAAGGCTGTGGCTAAGGGTGGGCCAGATGTAGGAGCTGGAGCTCCAATCCTTGGAGGGTGGCTTGGCAAGCCAACAGGGACGGACGCTGGAGGAAAGCAGATGTGAGCCTGGTGACAAGCTGGCCCTTGGAAGACACACCCTGAGTTGCTTCTCTATTTGATTTTTTTCTAAGGGGAAGGGCAGATCTGATAACTGACCTCACTTACTCTCTCTCTCTCAGGTTGATCATGAGCTAAGAGAATTTGGAGTAGACATGTTGGACCAAGCTTCCGGGTAGGACATTCCAGCTTCCCCTTTGCAGCTAGCATTTCACTTCACCTCAGCACTCCTACCTCCCCAACCTCCAGCCTACCATATCCCCGTCTACTACTGCTCTGGCTCGGCTGAGCCTCCGCCCTCTTGGGGAACAGATGGGAGCTGGAGGAGGCTCTCTGCGCGGGTTCTGCCAGGTGTCCAGGGATGGAGAGGGGGTGGAAGCCCATTCAGGATTGGTGGTGTGCAGTGAGGCTAGGGTTGGGATAAGGAGTCCTGGCTAGGCAGCTTGCCAGGGTGCAGAGCAAGAGAGAGATGAGATTGCAGGCCTGAGGGTGGTTCAGGTCTATGACACGCCTGGCGCTGGGGGTGGGGTGCTCCCCCCCCAAAGGGGGCGGGGGTCCTGGAAGAATCTTCGAGGTGGGAGGGTCCCTCCCGGAAACCCGGATGTTCTGGAGAAGCAGCTGAACAGAGTTCATGAACACCTGGCGGGCAAGGGGCAGAGCGGTAGCCGGGTGCGGGGGGTCTGGGGGCAGTCCCCGCACTCTCTGGTCTGTGTCTGTGATGGGGCCCTGCGCCTAGCGGCGCCCCCTGGCGCGGGGAAGGAGGACGGAAGCAGCAAGGTGGAGGCAAACGGGGAGGAGGGACGGTGGTCCCCGGCGCCGTGCTCCACACCCGGACCGCGTGGAGCTGCGCCCCCTGGCGCGGGGGTGGAGAGGCGGGCGAGAGGCCCTGGCTCTTACCTCCCGGGGTCCCGCGGGTGACGGCGGCAGCGGCCATTCTACCCCAAACCGACCCCCCCTAGCGCCGGCTGACAGCGGCGTTCGACGTCAGTGCGCACGGGGCGGGGCCTCCCAATTAAGGGAACGGGGTCGAGAAGGGAACCTGGGGTCAGCACACTGGGCCAGTCTACGCTACAGGCTGCAGGATCGTCTCTAAAGGGGCAATAGCGCTGAGGGAACCGGGATCCGGAGGCGGAAGCTCAGCTGACTGATGTGACTGTGGGCGCAGGAGGATGGGGCTTGGGCAGAGGTACAGGGCCAGAGCCTTGGAGGCTGGACCTGGGCAGAACTCTTCTTGTCTCGGGCGAGGCTCGTCTAATTTGGGGACCTTGTTTTACTTCATTGTAACTGGGTCCTCAAGAAAATCAAAGAAGTCCTCCTTTCCAGTTCCCCTCTCACTGCCTCCAGGCTCTTTAATAACAGAACAGAAAGAACACAAGACCAGGGTCCGGCTGTGAGGGTATGGGACCGTTGGGTAGGAACTCAAGTAGGCTGTAATCAACAGTTAGGGTTAGGAGAGGGAACAACCATCTTGCCGCCAGCAGTGAGGAGAGTCTCGCGCTTGGATTGGTCTGGAAGCTTGGGCATGGATGATTTTCCACTACTCCTCAGACTCCAGCTCCATCCTCTGAGGATTGTAAGTGGGGTTCCTCCTGGCTGTAACAGTGCTGTGGGCCAGAGAGCTTAGCCGCCCAGAGGCATAAGTCCCCCCCTGGCCTAAGGGGGTCCAGGGAGACCAAAGCAGCTGTGGATGAGAAAAATAGAAGGGGGGAGGGGCAAAAATGGAAAAACAGTTCTCCACATTTCCTAATGGCCAAATTCAGGCACGCCCCGCTCCCCAAGCTCGGGTTCATGACTACTTTTCGTTTTTAAATTCAGCTATTCAACAGCTCTTGGCTTGTGCCGCCCCCCCCATTCGAGATTATGAATTGATATCACCCTCCACCCTACCCCTACCAAATTCATCTCCAATCATACCTGATCCCTGGGAGTGACAAAATAATTCTCTTCCTGTGGATCGGTTCCCCTCTCTTCTTCCACGTCAAGGTATTCAGTAGTGCTGAGGAATCCATAGCCCTCTTCAGGTACTTGGGGGAGCTCAGATGGAACCTCAGAGCTTCCCCACTGGGCCTTCTTTAGTCTGTGGAGACATTAGGTTTACGAGAAAGGGGCCTGGAGTCAGGCTTCCAGCTTCTACATTCTTCCCCCTTCTGGTCTGAAGTACTTCCTGCTGAGACTCAGGTGGATAGGTGGTACCATTTGACTTTTTGCTCTCCACAGACAGAAGAATTTTCAGTTCAGGGGCCTGTCAGCGACCCCTAATTTCCCCCATTCAGTGATGTGCTCTCTAGTCATCATGGCCCATTTCACTTATCTTCAATCCCTCAATTGCTTCTTTCATATTATAGAAATTATGTTTGAGGACCAGCAAGATGACTTAGCAGATAAAGGTATTTGCCACCAACTTGATGGTCTAAGTCAGGCCCAGATGATGGAAGAAGAGGACCAGTTCCCATAAATTATTCTCTGATCTCCACACACATGCTGTGACATGCAGTACATATGTACATACATAATTAAATGCAACCAGGGGCATGGTTCCTTTTCAAGTACCAATGAATTCTCTCAAAGCTCTCACCTTTCTTCAGTTCAAATTACCCTCCACCAATCCCTGCCTTGCTCCCAGAGGCCAGACACCATGCCTCCTTACTCGTTGATGATTCTCTGTCGCCTCCTCAGGTCCTCCAGGTGATAGGTAACAGCTCTAACACGGGCCGGAATGTTTCCAGGGCCCGTCTGCATTCTTTCCAAATGCAGCTTCTTTCGTTTTCTTCTCCAGAGCTTTGCAGGAGGAGGAAGCCCCTCAAGAGGGTGCAGGCCAGGCTGCGAGCACCCAATGGTCCTCTGTGCCAAGGAGGAAGAACAGTTGCTAAATGGGTGGACAAATGTGGGTTTCCGGGAAATTTAGGCTGAACTAGAAAATCTGGGGTCTTTGGAAACTGGGTCTGATTTGGAAAACAGGATGCTTGGTTTACAGTAAACAGGGCCTGCTTAGATACTGGTTGGGAAATACCAGAGAAAAAGGGTAATAAGGACAGGAAGGCAGCAAGCACACTCTAACAGAAGGTTGAGGAGCAGGGCTTGTTATACCAGCATTGGTGGAATGTACTGTTCTTCCATCCAGTTGGAGCTGAGAAGAACAAAAATAGGAGCTGGAGTCAGAAAGGACACCCCAATAAACACCACTTCTCTCACAAACTCTCCAACCTCCTGTTGGAGCTACAGTTTCATCAAAGTGGGAAATGGCCTCCAAACATGGGCTCATTGCTGTAAGGATGCACGAGTCTTAAAAACAGTAGAGCCTCACCTTCCCACCTCCAGCTTCAGCTTTCTGCTCTACTCACCTGGACCTTCGGCTAAGATTCTCCCAGAAGGTGTCTCCGTAAGGCTGAGACATTGGTCTGCTACTCTGGGAGGGCTGGCTGCAGCGAGAGGATCGGCTGACCACCCTGGAACTCCTGAGAGGAGAACAAGGTAGGCTCACGTCTCAGAGCAGTGTTAACCCGTGGGTCGCAGCCCCTTTCACAGGGGTTGCCTAAGACCATTGGAAAACACAAAAATAAGTAAATAAAATTATTTTAAAAGGGAAGGCTTTGGTTACTCAGGTGATTTTGATAGACAAGGTTCCTTTAAGTTAATGAAGATCCATGAGAGAAACCCTGTTTACTGTGTCTTATGTATCGAAGAACGATCAATAGCCTTGTATGCAGGGTGTAGGAGCTATGTGTGAACAGTGCTTATTACTTCCTTGTCCCCAGATTGAATGATGCTTAATTTTCTGATTTTTTTTGTTTGTTTTGAGAGACAGGGTCTCACTATGTAGTTCTGGCTGTTCTGGAACTTGCTATATAGACCAGTCTGTCTCTGAACTCACAGAAGTCTGCCTGCCTCTGAGTGCTGGGATTAAAGGTGTGCACCATCATGCCTGGCCCAACTTCCTAGTCTTTAACTGAAATATCAGGGAGTCTTTTATATTCTTCACTTCTATCTGTCTGTAGGTGGTTTCATTCAATTTCATGACTTTAAATACTCCAGCATACTAATACTCCAAAATCTGTTCAGCCCGATTCCTTCTTAGGCTCCACCCAACATCTTCTCAGCCTTCAACCTGATAAAAGATATACCCCATATGCCTAGCTGCTATGGCCCAAAACTTCCTATGGTATATTTCCCCTCATTTCCTGTATCTAATCCATTGGCCAATCCAGTGAGCTGTATATCTGAAAAATACACAGATTTGACCACTGTTTCCATGTTCATTCTCATATTGCAATCACCTATCATCTTTCTCTCCTTGGACTATGGCAATGGTCTCTCTATTTTGCTCTCCCTATTTCTATTATTATTATTACTTTAAAAATTTAGCCAGGCAGTGGTGGTGAATACCTTTGATCCCAGAACTCAGAAGGCAGAGGCAGGTGGATCTTTGAGTTTGAAGTCAGCCTGGTCTACAGAGTGAGTTCCAGGACAGCTAGGGCTCCACAAAGAGACCCTGTCTCAAAAAGCCAAAAAAAATTAATTTTTATTTTTATTTCATATTGTATGTATGCTTTGCCTGTATGTGTGTCTGTGTATCATGTACATGCAGTGCCCACAGAGCCTGGAAGAGTGTATCAGATGCCATATGGGTGTTGGGAACTGAATCTGGGTCTTTGGAAGAGCAGCCAGCACTCTTAATCACTGAGACATCCCAAAAGCCCCAGTCCTTTTTATTTTATTTTATTTTTTTTTGGTTTTTCGAGACAGGGTTTCTCTGTGGCTTTGGAGCCTGTCCTGGAACTAGCTCTGTAGACCAGGCTGGTCTCGAACTCACAGAGATCCGCCTGCCTCTGCCTCCCGAGTGCTGGGATTAAAGGCGTGCGCCACCACCGCCGGGCAATCCTTTTTATTTTTAAGGATGTATTTTTTTTTTATTTTATGTGTTTGGATGTTTGCTTGCATATATATATATATGTGGGCACATTCATGCAGTGCCCACAGAGACAGGAAGAGGGCATTGGATCCTCTAGACATGGAGTTACACACAGTTTTTTTTTAAAATATTTATTTATTTATTATGTATACAATATTCTGTCTGTGTGTATGTCTGCAGGCCAGAAGAGGGCACCAGACCTCATTACAGATGGTTGTGAGCCACCATGTGGTTGCCGGGAATTGAACTCAGGACCTTTGGAAGAGCAGGCAATGCTCTTAACCACTGAGCCATCTCTCCAGCCCCGTTACACACAGTTTTTAGCTGCCATGTGCATGTTGGGAATTGAATCCAGATCCAGCAAATACTCTTAACTGCTTGAGCCATCTCTTCAGCCCCTGCTTCACTTCTTATTCCCCTCTCCCCAATTCTACTACACAGATCAGGATAAAGTAATCTTTTTTCTCTATCTCTGCCTCCTGAGTCCAGCAAAAATAATCCTTTGTATCGTATTGGCTTAGTGGTTAAGAGTATTTATTGCTCTTTCAGAGAACTGAAGTTGAGTTCCCAGAACTCATATCAGACAGCTCACAACTGCCCCTAAACTCTACCTTTAGGAGATCCAACACTCTCTGGTGAATGTGTATAATCTCAGCACTTGGGAGACGATGACAGGAGGGTCAGGAGTTCAAAATCATCCTTTTCTACATAGTAAGTATGAGGCTAGCCTAAACTGTATAAGACCCCACTTCTAAAACAAACAAAGGGGCTGGAGATACGGCTTAGAGATGCTTCCTGTTCAATCATGAGCACCCATGTAACAAGCTAGTATCCCCACACACCTGTGACCCTACCTCTGAAGGGTCAGAGACAGGACTGCCGGGGTGTGCAGACTTCCACTCTGAGAAAATGTGAACACCAGGTTTAGAGGGAGACGCTGCCTAAAGGAAGATATGGCTTGACTGGAGAGATAGCTCAGTGGTTAAAAGTACTTGTTGCTCTTGCAGAGGACCCAGGTTAGGTTCCCAGAACCCACATGGTACACTGTCAAAACACTCATACACATAAAATAAGGTTAATAAAATCTTTAAAAAATTTAGAGAAGAGTAAGTAGCAAATGATAGAGGATACTCACACCTTCTGGCATCCATGTGTGCAACATGGTGCACACACCTGCTCATATATGTGTGCATAAACTCACACACACACACACAAATAAATTATTTTTTAAAAACTAAGGGGGAGCTGGGCAGTGGTGGCACAGTTCTCAGGAGGCAGAGGCAGGCAGATCTCTGTGAGTTCAAGGTCAGCCTGGTCTACAGAGCTAGTTCCAGGATAGGCTCCAAAAACCACAGAGAAACCCTGTGTTGAAAAACCAAAAAAAAAAAAAAAAAACAAAAAAATAAAAAAAACCAAAAACTGTTGGGGCTAGAGAGCTGGCTCAGTGGTTAAGAGCACACATACTGGTCTGGCAGAAGACCTGAGTTCGTTCCCCATCACCCATGTCAGCAGGCTCAAAACTCCCTGTAACTCTTTTTCTAGGACAGCCCAAGCCTTCTTCTGGCCTCCATGGACAATTTAAAATAAAGTAATAATAGTAAACCATTTATTGAATAATTAACAAACCATCCATCTCCTAAACATGGACACTGAGGTTCCTGTTCTTTCTTACTCCACTCCTTTCTGAAAAGAATCCAACTCTTCCCTCCAATCCATCCTTATCCTTCCCACCCAACAGGGAGGACTCACTTGGCAAAAGGGAGGATGTTGTTGCCATCTTCCTGTCCCTCCATGACTGGACTTAGCTGGGTAGCAGGACTGGATATCCTCCTTGGTGCTGGGAGGATAATGGGTAATGAATCATTCACTCATGTAATAGCTGTAGACCAGACCATGAACAAGTGTAGAGATTGGAAAGGGACCAAACATGCTGAAAAAAGAGAGCTTCATAACCCTAAGAGAGACGATAGTGCTGTGCTATTAACTGAACATGTGAAGTTGGAGACAACAACAGCAGGAAAGGTGGGTGATATCAAGGAGAATATTTCCTGGAGCTAAACGTATAGCGTAAATGAAAATTACAGATGCAAGTTAAGTTACTTGTAATACAAGATGATGGAACTAAAAGCACGACAGGTGGAAGCCAGATGGGGCAGAGCCCTTTGGCAACAGTTGGACTAGAACTGGCGACTGGGGACAGAGAAGTGGAGGAATTGGGGGTTGGTAATAAATTGGATATGAAAGGTTAGCGAAACCATAGGAGAAATGACAACAAAAGGAAGCAACTGAGAGGGTCTGCACCAGTGGTTTTCAACCTGTGGGTCGCGGTCTACACCATTCTCAGCCCGTGGGTCATGATCCCCTGGGGGGGGGAGTCCAATGATCTTTTCACAGCTGTAATCAAGACCATCAAAAAACATATATATACACTATGATTAATCACAGTGCCAAGATTACACTTATGAAGTAGCAACAAAATTTTATGGTTGGGGGATTGCCATAGCATGAGGGACTGTATTCAAGGGTCACGTTAGGAAGGTTGAGGGCCATTGGTCTATAGTAAAGTGAACAGTGAAGTCAGTTGCACAGAAACTCTCTTGAGAAATCTGTATCCATACTTGGGTGTATATGTATTCCTGAGCTCTTCTTTCTTCCAAGACTTACTAATTTTTGATTTCTGTGTATATATGTGAGCCTTATGAGTTTATGTTTACTTTGTGCATGCAGGAGCTGGAGGAGGGCAGAAGACAACCTTTGCAGAAGCAGTAAGGGCTCTTACTCACGGAGTCAACTCTTCAGTACCTGCCCTTTTTCTTTTAATGCCTATGGTTAAATCTATTTTAGAACCTTTTCTGTTTGTTTGTTTGTTTTTGTTTTCGAGCTAGAGTTTCTCTGTGTAGTCCTGGCTGTCCTGAAACTCACTTTATAGACCAGGCTGGCCTCATCCCCACAGAGATCCGCCTGCCTCTGCCTCCTGAGTGCTAGTATTAAAGGCATGTGCCACCACCACCCGGCACAGAACCTTTTCTTAATAAACTCCACTTGTGGGACTGGAGAGATGGCTCAGCTCCTAAGAAAACTCGTTGCTCCTGCAGAGGACCTGGGCTCAGTTCCCAGAACCCACATGGTGGTTCATAAAAATCTGTAACGTCATCTAACACCCTTTTCTAACCTTTGTAGGCACCAGGAACACACATGGCTCACATATGTACATGCAAACAAAACACACATAAAAATGAAATAAATAAAACCTCAGTTGCACTTAGCTAGCATTTGGGACAGATGACCTAGATATGGTGAAAGGTGTGTGTGGGGGTGTGATTGTATAGAAAAAATTTAAAATACTCGCTATGAAGGCTAGAGAGATGGCTCAGTCTTTAAGAGAGCTTGCTGCTCTTGCAGAGGACTGAGTTTGGTACCCAGCAGCCATGTCATACAGCTCACAACCACCAGTAACTCTGGCTCTAGAGCATCTGATTTCCTTTTCTGACCTCCACAAGCACCCACATCCTCAGTGGATCCTCATGCACAAACATGAGCACACACATAATTAATTTAAACTAATTGTTTTTTCTCTTTTTCAAGACAGGGTTTTTCCGTGTAGCCCTGGCTGTCCTGGAACTCACTGTGTAGACTAGGTTGGCCTCAAACTCAGAGATCTGCCTGCCTCTGTCTCCCAAATGCTGGGATTAAAAGTGTGTGCCACCACTCCACAGCTTAAAAATAAAACCTTAAAAAAATATAATAGATATGGACCAAGGAGCTGGTTCAATGATAAAAATGCTTGCTACCTCAGCCTGATGACCTGAGTTTGATCCCTGATCTGACTTCTACACACACACACACACACACACACACACACTAAACAATACTTATTTTTTAAAAGAATATTACAAAAACACAGAAAAATAAAATAAATGAAGAAATATTAGATAAAAGCCATCTAAATTATAATCCTAAGCACTCAGGAGGCTCATGAAGGAGCAAAATGAGTTTGAGTCCAACCTAGTTTATAACAGCAAGACTTTGTACAAATCAAAACATATAAGAAAGCTAGGGAGGCCAGACGGTAGTGGCACACTCCTTTAATCCCAGCACTCAGGAGGCAGAGGCAGGTAGATCTCTGTGAGTTCGAACCGACCTGGTCTACATGTTCCAGGTCAGGCTCTAAAGCTACCGAGAAACCCTGTCTCAAAAAACCGAAAAGAAAAGAAAAGAAAGAAAAAAGCTAGGGAGGCAATGGAGATGTGGTTCAGGGGCAGAGCAGCTTGCCTGCACGACCAAGGCTCTGGGAACCCCGACCAATAAACTACTATGTCAGTTAGGAGTGCCTGCAGACCTGCATAAAGGACAGAGAGAGCCAATCTGAATGTGTCAGAAGCAAAGGGTAGCCAAAGGTGAGTTAGGCATAGTTTTGCAATCCTGGGATTCCAGCATTCAGGAAGTTAATTCAGGATTGAGAGTTTAAATCCGGACTGGGGTATGGGTTACAAAGAGAGACCCAATATAAAAGCCATAAAATCAGTAAGGGTAGCTAGACGGAGCTGAAAATGGTTGTGGAAGATAAAAGACAAAAGGAGTGTTCTCGAAGTGGCAGATGGGATAGAGTTGGGCTGAGAGTGCATGTGAGGTCAAAATTGGACGTCCTGAGTTGGAAGGGGGTCTAGAACTAGGGGCGCAATTGGGAACTGAGGGGCATGCGGCCTTCGGATAGTTAGGCCTGAGTGGGTGACCTGGATCTAAGGGGCCGGGCGGATTGAGGCAGTCAGACAGAATCAAGTTGACCAAGGGATCATCAAGACCTTGGCAGCAAGACACAGCTAAGAGGGTAGATGGGCATCTGACGGATGATGCCCTGGCTGAGGAGCCTGGCGGTGGAAGCCTTGGTGCCAGGAGGGAAGGACCAAGGCCCGAGGGTGTGGTTGGGCCTGAGGGGGCTGAGGCGACCTTTGGCAGGTAGATCGGGGCCCACAGCCAAACCTTTGGCAATAAGCAGGAGGGCATAGGAGGGGCCGTGGGGTAGTGAGCCTATGAAGCGGAGGGGCAGGCGCAGACCAGGCTGGGTGGGCAGGGGTCTCCTGCCCTCAGAAGGCAGCTGCGGCCTAAGAAGACACCTGAGGCTGAGGGGCTGACTGGGGCTGAGGCGGCGGTCGGGGACTCAAACTTGAAAGCTATCTGGGAAGAGAGCATCGAGCGGCTACGCCGGCGACGCCTGCATTTGGCCCCATCACCTGAGGCAACTGCGAAGCGAATTCTGGAACCTCAGGTCGGGCAGGAAGGAACTCCGTAGGGACCGTACGGACCGTAGTCGCTCCGCTCGCCTCGCTAGCCTGAAGGCCGGGCTGACCGGACGGCCTCCTGGGCGTGGTCTACCGACAAGCCCCGCCTTCTAGGAGCGCCTCTGACGGCGGCGACGTGCGCGGCTCCGACCTCAGTCCCCTCGGGGGTCCGCCCCCACCTTCTCCGGCTCCTGTGGAGCGATAGTTTTCCCACGTTCCGGCGTTCTGCTTTCCCTGTGTGTCCGCAGCGCGCTTTCCCTGTGTCTGCCCGGTGGGCCCTACTGTCAGAGTGCACTGCCCCTTTAACTAGAGCGAACCCGGTGACTCCTTCCCGGGACAGCGCGTGCCCGCCTGTCCGTCCGCGCGCGCGCGCCCGCTCGCCCGCCCGTCCGTCCCCCGCCCCTCGCTCCCGCCCCAGCTCGCGCTGCCCGGGCGGGCGCCGGCCGCTGGCGCCGCTACTGCTGCCGCCCCCGGGGCGCGATCCGCCGCCGGCCGCCCGGGGACCCGGCGAGGGGCGGGGGCAGCCCCGAACTGGCCCGGGGTCTCCCCGTCTCCGGTCTCAGGCAGCCAGGAAAGTTTGTCCCTTTGCTCTCCGCGGGGAGTCCTGCCGCGACGAGGTGAGAGCCGGTGGGGGGCAGGGAGGGGACGCCCGCGGAGGAATGCACTGGAGGGCGGGGAGCCGGGGTTCCGAGGTACCGATTGCACGACCCGGCCGGGCGGGCTAGGCGCGAGAGCTCGGATCATGTGCTATTTATCCCGCGGAGGCGCAGAGAGGTGCCAGGCCCCGGGCAGCCGTCGGTTGGCTGGTCTGGAGGACTGGGGACTCATGGCCGCCCAGAGCGGACAGCCGGGGGCCTGTTGGAGAACAGCGGGTGGGAAAGGTGCAGGTGACCCGAGACCCTCTTTCGGGTCGGCCGGCCCCACCCCAGCCGCGGCCTTCTCCCCAGTGAGCCCTTAGGGCTGTACTCGCAGACTCTGCACCTACTCTCTTATTTCTTTACTCCACTGTGTTCTAGCCTTGCCACCCAATTCCCTGTTTTCTTAGCATCGGAGGTGTCACATTGCGTGCCCGTCCTGGTGTCCTTCCCTCCCCTAGTCAGGGTTTTGGGGGTCAGGGCTATTCTTCCTGAGCCAGCCTCTGGTTTTGGCTACTCCCTTCCTGTGGTGGGATAAATCAGCCCCTTCACCCCTCCCCTGCCCTGCCTGGGAAGGCTGGTGAGGTAAGGCCCAACCCAGCACACCAGAAGTTGGAGGTGTTTGGGGACTACAGGTGGGGATGCCGCATCCTTGAACCCTTTCATAAGCCTTCACCCTGCTGTCCGTAGGCGTGGGCTGCTTAGACTCTCCTGACAGGGTGTGGGCACCCGGATCACCCACATTCCTAGGCTGCAGCCTGGCACCTTCCCCAGGCTAGTGAACGCCGGAGCACTACCCCCAGGTTGGGTTTGGGTCCAGTCCGTTTCCTTTTCCCTTTGCTTTCCTTTCAGGAAGCCCCCCTCCCCCCAACCCTTGCCAGCAGTTCTCCCCTCAAGAGACAGGTATTCTGGGTCTCCCTACCGCGGAGTCCTGGGGGTTGATATTATGCCTACAGGATGACCCCACCCTCCCCTGCCCATTGTCCTAGATCCTGGGGAGGAAGTACTGGGGGCTGGGCAAGGGGTTTGGGGATCGCAAGGCAGGCCCTGTGGATCCTTGTTCCAGGCTGTACCTCTAGCCTTTGGACCCTCTGACTCAAATATGGGGGTTATCAGCTCTATGTAGGAACACGTCTATCTCTGCCTCTCCCTTCTCCAGGCTCACCGAGAGAAGAATTATAGATTAGGGCTTTATGATTGGAGTTTTGGTCTCAGCCTATATCTCCATCAGCTTCCAGTTTGTGCTTTCACCCCAGAACCCTCTCCTACTTTTCAACTTCTCTATGTTCTTCTTCTTCTGCTGCTAGGCTTTCTTTCATAGCCTGACCTCAATCTTGTCTGTTGTCCGATTTGTCTCATTTTCTTAGTGTCTGTAACTTTCTGTCCCTCCTCTTCCCTTCCTGCCACCCTCAGTGTCTCTGCCCATGTGTTCTTCCGTCTGAATCACCCTCTGTCCAATCTGTGTTTCATTCTCTCGCTCCCTCTCCACTAACTGAACTCTCAGTACACTTGTGAGTGACTAGGAATAAAAATATCACTGTCTGTGCCCTTGGATTCACATTGCAGCCACTCCAGAGGGGCGGCTAGCCTTACTCTCCTAACATCTCTGTATCCCCTGCTCCTGAAACACAGAGCCCCAGACAGACCTTTGGAGCTACAGGTGCCTCCTGACTTCTCTTCCCCCACAATCTGGGTTTCCCTTACAGCTGTGCTGGTGTGGCCAGGCCCCAAGAGTAGGATGGGGCTTCCCATACGAGGGCCGGTGGCAGCCAGAACTGATACAGCACCTCTGATCTGGGGCCAGGACACCAGGTAACTCTGGGGTGATGACCCAAGTCTCTACAAACTGGGATCTGGTTTGGGGAGAGAAACAGGAATATTTTCGGAACTGACATTTGGGAGGAAGGCCTGAAGAGCAGGAATAGAGGAGGCCTTGAGGGCATGGGTGGCTAGCTGGGATGAAGTATGTAGACATGGACTCAAGAAGTCTTGAATCTCCCAGTGGCTCTGACCACCCTTTTTTTCTGTCCTGCAGCTGAGGAGGGCAGGAGTTTCTGAAGCTATGGCTGGTGCCTCGGTGAAAGTGGCAGTGAGGGTTCGGCCCTTCAATGCCCGTGAGACCAGCCAGGATGCCAAGTGTGTGGTCAGCATGCAGGGCAACACCACCTGTGAGTGAGTCCAGAGGCCTAGCTGGGCATCAGAGGGGCAGGCCAGGCCTGCTGGGCTGTCCCGGGAGGAAGGCCATGCTGGGCATAGAGCATGTGCTAGCTGTAAGGGGGGGCAGACTGGCCTTTCCATGTTCCTGTCCCTGGGAGGGGGAATGTTGGCCTGCAGCCTTCCATTGCCCAATCCAGGGAGGCAGCTCAGTGGGGGCGGGTCCTGTGAAGCCAAAATTAGCTTGGGTGGCTGGAGGGGGTGGGGAGTATTAAAGGGAAGAAATGAGTTAGGACAGAGATGGGGAGTGGGATCTTGGATCCTTGGGGCTTATGGGAAAGGGGGCAGAGGTTGAGCATACCTCACCTTGACTTTCCTCTCTGTTTTTTCAGCCATCATCAATCCCAAACAGAGCAAAGATGCCCCCAAAAGCTTCACCTTCGACTATTCTTATTGGTCACATACTTCGGTGAGGCTGTTGGGGCCAGAGGAAAAGCTTAGCCGTGGGAGATAAGCAGGGATATTGCTGGGAAATAAGGGTATCCAGGGGACTGGACTGGGAGGACAGGTACCTCTGGTTGGAATGAATCATACTCAGGTTGTATTTAGAACCATCTCGAAAAAAAACCAAAAAAAAAAAAAAATAGAACCTAGAGGGGCAAAGTGAATCCATCCTGGTAGTTAGGATCAGCAGGGGGATGGATAAGAACCTCAGGGATGTAAGAATGATGGAGTGGGGTTGAGGGATACATGGGACCTTTGGGCAGTCACTGAGAGGTCAGGATGCTCAGGCCATAGACACCAAGAACAACCTCATCCAGGACTCCTGTCTTTCTCTGCCTCCCTTTCCCCTAGGTGGAGGATCCACAGTTTGCGTCTCAACAGCAGGTGTATCGAGACATTGGAGAGGAGATGCTGCTGCATGCTTTCGAAGGCTACAATGTGTGCATCTTTGCCTATGGGCAGACGGGGGCCGGGAAGTCCTACACCATGATGGGGCGGCAGGAACCGGGGCAGCAGGGCATTGTGCCTCAGGTACATGCTGGGACCTAACTGGGCAGCCAGGGGAGGAACATCTTCGGTTGCCACAGGGGGAGAAGGATAGGGTTGAAGGTCTGGAGCTGTTTGTGATTGGAAATGTAATGGAGTATAAGGCTTGGCTGTATCCTGACACCCAGGGCCCCTCTGAGAGAGAAGCTTTGTGCCCACCAGGACAACAAGGCTCCATGAGAAGAGCCAAGGCGTTAGTATTAGAGTATTAGAGGAGCAATGGCTTTACAGCTCACTACTGTTTTATTTTCTTGTAACTGGTTTCTCCCGTGGATTTCAGTATTAGATGGTGTTAGCTGTAATTGTGAATGACTGAGAGTTGCCCAGAATTCTCTGTGGCTGTGATCTATAGTGGCCTTGTCTGTAGACCAGAATACAGGATACATGGGCTTGCATCCTAGCCTGATGGATACTAGCTTGTAACTCTAAACAAATGTGAACCTTTGAGAGATTGTTTTCGTATCTATAAAATGGTACTGACTCCTGCCTCCAGGCTATAGAAAGGGTCATTTGGGACAAAGTCTGGCCTGGGGTTGGGAGCTGCAGGTATGCCCTGAACAGGAGCTCTGTGTTCCCCTGCAGCTCTGCGAGGACCTCTTCTCTCGTGTTAATGTGAACCAGAACGCTCAGCTTTCCTATTCTGTGGAGGTGAGCCCCAGTCTCGGTGCAGGTAGGCAGGAGACCTAGTACTCCTGGACAAGAATGTAGGAAAACAGTGATTAACACTGGGGTTTGTCTCAAGTCAGCTTGGGACCTATTTCTGACTGTGCTGGTGACTAATGGGACCTTGGGCAGTGATTTCAGCTTGTAGCTCCCGAGTGTGTTCTATGGGATGCCAATGATTAGACCCACCTCCTTGGGTTGGTGAGAGGACCAGGGAGCTAGCATATTCAGCCTTAGCACCATGCTAAGGTAACTGTCCTCTTCAACTGAGGTTAGTTTCTCCGGCAGCATCGCTAGTGGCTCCCTCACGTCCTGTTTGCTTCTCCCACTTAGGTGAGCTATATGGAGATCTATTGTGAGCGAGTACGAGACCTCTTGAACCCCAAGAGTCGGGGCTCCCTGCGTGTTCGGGAGCACCCTATACTGGGCCCCTATGTGCAAGACCTGTCTAAATTGGCTGTGACTTCCTATGCAGACATTGCCGACCTCATGGACTGTGGAAATAAGGCGCGGTGAGGCAGGCTTACCTGGGGAGGAAGGGAGACAAAAATTGTGAGGGTGGAGGGCAGGGACCTATGACTTTTCCTTTCGATTCTAGAACTGTGGCCGCCACCAACATGAATGAGACCAGCAGCCGTTCCCACGCTGTCTTCACTATTGTCTTCACTCAACGCTCCCATGACCAGCTTACTGGCCTGGATTCGGAAAAGGTAGTGACGTCTTTCAAATGGGGACCTCTCTCAAATGATGTGCTGGAAGGGGCTTGCGCATTCCCTCCCCACCTGGGCTCTGTGGTGCCTCGTCAGGACTTCCACAACCCCCTCTACTGTCCCGCCAGCGTGTTATAACCTGTTTGCTCACTTGTCCTTAAAGACTCTCAGGGCAGGGGCAGGGCTCAAGCCCCACTGTGTCCCTTGTCCTGGAACAGAGTGAACCTATAAATATTCGTGGGTGAATAAGTAGCCAGGTCCTCACTCTTGTCTCATTTGTTCTCTTTTGTCTCCCCACCCCGGGTTTCTCTGGCCTTTGCTAAACACCCAGATTTCTGCTGGCTGTTCCCCTAATTCCCTTCCCATCCCCTACCCACCCCAGCCATAACCTGCTTCTTTCCTCCAACCCCAGGTCAGTAAGATCAGCTTGGTGGACCTCGCTGGGAGTGAGCGGGCTGACTCCTCAGGGGCCCGGGGTATGCGTCTAAAGGTGAGGGATGGAGGGATGGATGGAAGCCTTGGGGACAATGGAGGGAGGGCGGGTGCTGATCATCCCCCTCAGACCTTTGCTGGCAGAGATCTGATTGACAGGAAGGCCTCAATTCCACATTCCTTGTCCTTTTCTAGGAAGGCGCCAACATCAATAAATCCCTGACTACTCTGGGGAAGGTGATATCAGCCCTGGCAGATTTGGTAAGCCCCGAGGGTTGGGAAGAGGAGAGTCTGCGGGAGAAACGGGGAGTGACTCATCGCCTTCCTCTTCTGTCCCTCAGCAATCAAAGAAGCGGAAGTCAGATTTCATCCCTTATAGAGACTCTGTGCTCACCTGGCTGCTCAAGGAGAATTTGGGTGAGGGGTTCCTTCCCTGCCTTTGCTACCCTGTTATCGTCCCCATCTGACAGAACCTCTTGCCATCTACTCCATGTTGTCCCACGGTTCTCCCCCTGACCGAGGGGTCATCCTATAAGGAAGTTTACTATGCTGACATCATGACTACACCCTGCCGAACCAGGGACCTCACTGACCTGTTTACCCCTGACCCCAAATACTGCTGAGTTCATCTCCCTCCCACAGGCCTGTCACTGCTCACAGAGACCTGACGTCTCCCTGACTTCACCTTTCCCTGCATTATTGGACTTCATGATTAGCTCACAATTCTCAGCTTTATCCCACCTCAGACGCTGGCCTCTCATACCTTGTACTGGGGCTCCCTTGCTTTATAATCCTGTCTGACTTTACTTATTTATTTATTACTTAAATATAGTTAATTAATTAATTAGAGACAGGGACTCATGGATCCCAGGCTGGCCTTGAACTCTGTCCTCTTGCTTCTACCTCCCAGGCCCTGGGGTTCCAGTCATGCAGTATCTCATCCAGTCAAATATGACTTTTCTTAGTCTCCAGTTCATCAGTTACTTTCTCTTCCCCTCCATCCATAGGTGGGAACTCCCGCACAGCAATGATCGCAGCTCTGAGTCCTGCTGACATCAATTACGAGGAGACACTCAGCACCCTCAGGTGGGGTTTCAGCTTTGGTAGCATACCAAAAGTGCCAGGAGCTCAGAGGCTGGTTAGTCATAAGGGAAGGAGAGCCTCCAGCCGTGTCACAATGTTTGAGATCTGAGCTGGTGAGCAGGAAATGAGTAGACACATAGCAGGGGTCTCCTGGGTCTGCTCTCAGCACGTTTTTCTTTCCTTGCCCAGATATGCAGACCGTACCAAGCAGATCCGGTGCAATGCTGTCATCAATGAGGATCCCAATGCCCGGCTTATCCGAGAGCTGCAGGAGGAGGTGGCACGTTTGCGGGAGCTGCTGATGGCTCAGGGACTCTCAGCCTCTGCTCTAGGAGGTAGGGCTACTGGGGAGGGACAGCCAGGGAGGCCCCTTAGCTCACCTCTCTGCCCTTCTTTGCCTTTGCCCAGTTCTGGGATGTGGGAAGGTCCATTCACTATTAAACCCGTTGTGTTCAGTCATGTGGACACATACCTGGAGAAGCCACTTCCATCTTTTGATATTATGGAGCTGAAACAGACTTAGTTTCTCAGGGAGACTCAAGACAGGCTTCTAGAACGAATAAACGCCAAGTGCAAAGAGTATATATAGCGAGTCACAAATTTATGGTTCACATAGGAAGGTTAGAAGACACTGGGGAATGTGTCCTGGAGAAGGTCTTATAAAATGAGAGGCTCTTTTCTGTTTTTTTTTTTTTTTTTGTTTGTTTGTTTTCATTTTGGATCTCACTGTATGTAACCTGGACCTTTCTGTTGTTGTTCAACTATTCTCAACCTTCCTAATGCTGTGACCCTTTAATACAGTTCCTCATGTTGTGATGACCTCCAACCATAACATTTGTATTTGGTTGCTACTTCATAACTGTAATTTTGCTATTATTATGAATCTTAATTTAAATATCTGATATGTGACCCCTGTGAGGGTCACAACCCACAGATTGAGAACCACTGTTGTAGCTCCTCCTACCTCAGGCTGCCAAGTGCTGGTGTGAGCCACTATGCCTCGCTGCCCTTTGTTGTCTTGAGACAAGGTTTCATTCTGTAGTCAAGATTACCATGCACTCAGGCTTCCAAGTATTAGGAGTATAGACATGTGTCATTATGACTGGAAACAATGGGGTTTTAATCAACTATAGCTTAATAGTCAACAACAGGATAGTTTGTAGACGTAGCTTCACTGGTAAGAAATTAATATCCATGTGATCATTTTAGCAGCACATATACTAAAATTGAAATGACACAGAGATTAGCATGGCCCTTGCACAAGGATGACACTCAAATTCATGAAGCATTCCGTATTATTTTTATAAGGTAAAATCTTTTTAATGATTTATTTGTTTTTATTTTGTTTTTTATTTTTTTAAAATTTTATTTGACTTTGTTTTATGTGCACCAGTGTGAAGGTATCAGGTTCCCTGGAACTGGAGTTATAGACAGTTATGGGTTCCCATGTGGGTGCTGGGAATTGAACCTAGGTCCTCTGGAAGAGCAACCAGTGCTCTTAACCACTGAGCCACCTCTCCAGCCCTGTGTTCCAATTTTTTATTTTTTAAAAAAGGAATCGCTGTCCATGTGAGTGAGAAGATACGTAATCCATGTTAACTGGATCAGGTTCTCACCCTGTGCCATACTTAAAGTACATCTCACTGAGGAGAGCTGCTGAGGGACACAGTGGGGAGAATAAGAGTTCTTGGGAAGAGAAGGAAAATAAGGTTGGATAAGTTGTCTTGTAAAGGAAGAGTGTGTGGCATCGTATCCCAGGGGCAGAACTAAAAGGGCTAGGCACACACGGTGTGGGGCCTCTTCAGCTCGATACAGCTAATGTATCGATGTATCTGATGGTGGAAAGAATGGGTGGCTTCATCTCATGCAAGAGTGAGGCGCTCCATCCCTGGGTTCTCAGCTGCTCTCATTGTCGCTAAGGAGGGCCACCTTAGATGTCTCCCGCAGTTCTCTGGCCCTTAGCCTTCTGACCAGTTCCATCTTAGCCTCCTTCTCGCTTTTTCCCTTCCAGGTCTGAAGGTGGAAGATGGGAGTCCTGGAGGTACTCTGCCAGCTGTATCTTCTCCACCCGCCCCAATTTCACCCTCATCTCCTCCTCCACACAATGGGGAGCTGGAGCCTTCATTCTCCCCCAGTGCTGAGCCCCAGATTGGGCCTGAGGAGGCCATGGAGAGGCTACAGGTGGGAAGCGAAGCTGGCACCGGCAAGGGGTAGTGGACTGGGTAGCGAAGCTGGCACCGGCAAGGGGTGGTGGTCTGGGTATCAAAGCTGGCACCGGCAAGGGGTTGTGGTCTGGGTGCTGTTCCAACTTTATTTCTCCAAGGCTGAAGTGGAAGAAGGAGCCTCAGGAGTATGGTTGTCTCTGTGGTAGGTATTGGTCCAGGACTGTCCTGAACTTGCTTTCTGTCTGTCCTAATGCCCCCAGGAGACAGAGAAGATTATTGCCGAGCTGAATGAGACCTGGGAGGAGAAGCTCCGTAAGACAGAAGCCCTGAGAATGGAGAGGTAAGAGGGCCAATGCACAGCCGGCCCCTCAGCAGGGAAGGATGGGGCAGCAATGGTAAGGCTGACATTTGCCTTTTCCTTGCTCACAGAGAAGCACTGCTGGCTGAGATGGGCGTGGCTGTCCGGGAGGATGGTGGCACTGTGGGTGTCTTCTCCCCTAAAAAGGTATGTGAAGGCTTGGGCAGTGAGGCCCAGAGAGCTCTCTGGATGACTGAAGGAGAGGGTTGTGTGTGGTATGGTCCTTTGCTTCTGTGCCTGACTCGTCCCTCATCATCATCCCATTCCCTACCTTCTCTGCCTCGATTATGTGGCCATCTCCGCCTTCTCTGTCCATCAGCTAGTCAGCTAGAGACTTGAGTGCTCATTAAATGCTGTGGCCAGCTACTGAAGGGTCATTGTTGACAGTCCCTGCCCTCGAGGAACTGCAAAGCTATGCAAAGCCTCGCTCTTTCCATACATGTACACACAAATGGAGTGCACGCAAATGGCTTCTTCGGGAGAGGGGAAGAGGATGGGTGTGCCAGCTACTTGAGAAGTTAACTGAACCGGGTTTGGCGGTGCACACCTTTAATCATAGCACTTATGATTATGTGAGTTCGAGTCCAGCCTGGTCTACAAAGCAAGTTCCAGGACAGCCAGGGCTCTGTCACACAGAGACACCCTGTCTCGAAAAACCAAAAAAAAAAAAAAAAGTTTAATGGTTTTTTTTTTTTTTTTTTAAAGACAAGATTTCTCTGTGTAACAGAGCCCTGGCTGTTCTGGAACTTGCTTTGTAGACCAGGCTGGCTTCAAACTCACAGATATCTCCTGTCTCTGTCTCTCAGGTGCTGGGATTAAAGAAAAGTCCATTTTAAAAGGCTAACTAGGGAGGATGGCTGGAAAAGAGATGGAGGAGGAGTAAATGTGACCTTGGTTAGAGATGCTGGAGGGTTGGTCTTCATTGGAAGCATCCATGTGGCCTAGAGATGCAGCAGCTGGGTCGCTCGGGAAGGTAGTTTGCAAAATGGAGCTTGAAAAATGGACAAGACTTAGGTAGAGATGGGTAGGGACAATGTGATGCTAAACAGATAAAGCATGTTAGGCTACATGGGACTTGTGGTGCCAGACAGATAGTAGCTGTGTGGTAGAGCTTCACTGGAGAGGAAGAAAGCAAAGCAAGAGTTGCCAGGCCCAGGCCAGACAGTGGTGGCGCACACCTTTAATCCTAGCGTTTGGGAGGCAGAGGCAGGCAGATCTCTGAGTTTGAAGCCGTTCTGGTCTACTTAGTAAGTTCCAGAACAGCCAGGGCTACACAGAGAAATCCTGCCTCAAAAATAAATTAATAATTTATTAATTAAATAAATGAATAACATTAACTAATTAAAATACAATTAAAAAGTTGTCAGGCCCACATGGGCACAGAAATAACACTTGAAATATTCACCAACTGGCATGAAACTGCCCAATTAGAAGGAACATTGGCAATAAAAGGTCAGTATAGCTTCCAAATGTGATGGATCATGCCTACAGTCTCAGCACCTGGGGATTGGGGGGCAGGGGTAGGAGAAGTTCAAGTTCAAGGGCAGCCTGGATTACATAGTGAGTTTAAAGTTAGTTTGAGCTTTATAGTAAGATCCTGTCTCAAATAAAGGCTGGACATGCCTTTAATCCCAGCACTTTGTAAGTTCAAAGCCAGCCTGGTCTATGTAGTGAGTTTCAGTCCAGTCATAGCTCCATAGTGAGACCATGTCTAAGAAGAAAAAGAAGGCCGGAGTTCTAGTCCAGTGTTAAGAGTGTTTGCCTGGCATAGTCAAGGCCCAGAAAAGAAGAGAAAGGTAGAGATTGGGGGGGGGGGTGGCAGGAACGACACAACGACCCACTTACTTACAGCAAAAAACAAGCTAGCACAGCTGACTAGTGTGTGCTGATGGAGGATGGTATGCCAGTTTGAGCCGAGCAGGAACTTCCAGTCCCACCAGGAAACCCGCCTGGCCTGCCTGATGTGTGGTGTAGAGCAGGCTGGGATCAGATGTGCTGCTCTGGCTAGTAAGAGGCTCCGCAGAGAGGTGGTGGGCTGCCACAAAGGGCTTGCTTTTTGGTGAGGTCAAGAGCAAGCAGGAATCACTGGGCTTTAAGTATCTATTTGTATATACACATAACCTTATTAATTTTTGAGATTTTTTCTGTGTTATGGGGTTTTTGCCTGTATGTTTGTCTGTATGTATACCGTGTGTATGCTGTGCTCAAAGAGTTCAGAACAGGGTGTTGAGTCCCTGCGGGACAGGGTAAGAAGGTTGTGAATAGCCATGTGGGTGCTGGGATTGAACCCTGAAGAGCAGTCAGTGTTAACAGGTGACCATCTCTTCAGCCCGACCTCATTACCTCATTCCTTTTATTACATTATTTGTGTGTATGTGCGCACGCGTGTGTGGGTGCCATGTGTGGGAAGTCAGAGGACAACTTGCAGGAGCCGATTCTCCTTCCACCACATGGGTTCTGGGGATTGAACTTGGATTGTCAGACTTGGCAGCAAGCATCTTTACTTCCTAAACAAGCTTGTTGCTCCTTCCTTACCCCTTAAATTTAAAATGTTTTGTTATTGTGTGTGAGCGTGCACAAAATGGGTGTCAGAACATGCGTGCCATTGTGCTCACATGGAGGTCAGTGACAGCTTCGTGTGGTTTGTTCTCTGCTTCCACCCTTTATGTGGCGTTCTTTTTTTTTTTTTTTTTTTTTCCTTTTTCGAGACAGGGTTTCTCTGTGGTTTTGGTTCCTGTCCTGGAACTAGCTCTTGTAGACCAGGCTGGTCTCGAACTCACAGAGATCCGCCTGCCTCTGCCTCCCAAGTGCTGGGATTAAAGGCATGCGCCACCACTGCCCGGCTTATGTGGCATTCTTGTTTGATTTCTGCTGCTGTAATAAAGCACCCTGATCAAAAGCAACACAGGCAAGGGAAGGGTTTAATCAGCCCCACAGTTCCAAGTTACAGTTCATCATGCATGCACGAAAGGACCAGGGATGGAGGCCAGACATCTCTGTCTTTCTCAATCGCTTTTCCACCTTATTTATTTATTTTTGAGACGGGGCCTCTGGTAACCGTGGAGCTCACTAACTGTTTAGACTGTGGCAGACACCCTAAGGACCTACCTGCCTCTGGTAACCGTGGAGCTCACTAACTGTTTAGACTGTGGCCAGACACCCTAAGGACCTACCTGCCTCCGGCATGTGCTGCTGCCACGTTAGAATGGCTAAGCAGTGCAGGCTGGCTTTGTCTTTTTAAAAATTCCTTAGTACCTTTATGTGATTATTTTAGATATGTTTCAGATATTTCTTTTATATATTTTTGAGACAGAGAATCAGTTATACTTATAGCTCAAGATTGCCTAGAGGTCAGTATGCAGTCTAGGCTGCTTCAAACTCCAATTTACGATAGTCCTTCCTGAGTCTCCCAAGTTCTGGCTTTGTAGACGCTAGCTGCCACACCCAGCTATGGGTTAAAACTGCTGTCTAGAGACTGGCTGGGTGGCTCAGCAGGTGAAGACACTTGCCCTCCAGCCTGAGGACCTGAGCTTGGGACCCGTGAAGTAGGAGAGAACTGACTGCTGGGGTTTGTCCTCTGACCTTCACATGAGCACGGTGGCCCTAGTGCTCCCTTACATAACTAATAATAGATAGAAATAAAATTTAGATCTATGTCACTGAAGTACCCTCTGAAGATGAAAACCAGGCCAATTTGTCACCAAGAGCAACCTGTAAGAAGGCCTGTGTTCCTCTTGTTCTCTGTCCCCACCCTTGCTTCCTGTTGTTGTTGGTTTA